GCCAGTGTTGTGAGGGGCCCAGAGAGGGTGGACCCTGAGAACGTGATTGAGTACAGGGCGTGGTGCTGCGGTTGCCCCTAGGAGAAAGGGAGTAGTGGCACGGTGAGGCCCGAAGATGCGAGTAAGCGGCTAGAGACCCAGCCCGAAGGGTTGAGTACCCTCGACTGGCCCAAGTTGGGGCCAGGACTATGGGAGTCAAAAGGGCCAGGGGCCCACCATGAGGGATGCCCAAGAGCTGGGGGCCTGGGATCCCGACTGGCCTGGAGGTGGGACAGGGCAAGTGGCCGAAGGTTCTGGGGGGACCACACCCGAGAGGGGAACATGGCTTCGGAGGGGGCTAGGTAGCCTGGATGACGACGGAGTGGCCACCTGATAGGAGAGGATCATAGAGGGGTCCTGTGTGGATGATTCTGGGGCTCAGTATGGGGCCGGTGATTGTGTGAACACCAAGATGCCATCTGTGAGGCTTGGGCTGCAGTATTGGGGAGGATAGGAGCCGCAGAGAGAGCCCCCTGGCATCGGGGCACTAGATGGGCAGCCTCCTGCTTAATTGACATCTGATTGAATCAATTATCATCAAAGGCATGGCGGGCGAGATAGGCGGGCGGTTGCCCACAAGACAGGGGGCGGGCCATGGAGACCGGCCATGAGGAGGCCCCCTGTCACAGAGCCCTAACCCTGTTACTCAATTGAGAGGGGAACAGAAACAGAAAAACAGGAGCTGAAACCCATGGCTGCAGAGAGGGAAGACCCATGCAGTGAGCCAGGGCATTGCTCCTTTAAGAAAATGAAGCACATGGCACAGAGGCTGTCAGTTATTCAAAGATGAGATGTCTCACCCTTCACAGGCACAAGGCAGGCAACTGGCTGGCTGAAACCTCAGACATTTAAAGACAGCCAGAAGGTGGTCAGGGAAGGAAAGAAAGTGTGAGATCTGGCTGGTGGAGTGAGTAGATGCTCTTGGACCATGCGGGTACATGAGAGTTCTTGCATTGCAAGCACCAAGAACCTCAGTGACTCAGACACTGCAAACTTTTGATGAGTCACCCTGCTGCTAAAGTGGTAGCATTCCTTTTTTCCCCCCTCCTTTCTTTTTGTGATATTTTCTCTGCTGTATTGAACCCCAGGAAAAGGAGAAGTTTATATAAGGCAGCAGCCTGCATTTATGTTGGAATTAATTCAGTGGACAGGGTGTGTAGCTGGAAGGGGAGTTTGTGGAAGCCAGTGAGGTGCAAACAAGGTGCCACAAGTTGCAGAGTCCTAACAGGGCAGGACATAGGCCAGAGAAATGCCGGAGACCGAGGGCTGGAGCTCATAAGCTGGGTTTGGGCACAGTGGGTCTTGGCAGAAAGAGCCCAGCTAGAAAAAGGAGGCAGAAGCTGGGAAATGGCTAAAACCTGACAAATGTGTGGAGGCTAAGGCAGGCCAGAAGGCAGAGTGAGGCCAGGAGCCTCCTCAGAACAATATTCAATAGTACCTGCAAGACACAGGCTTCAACATGGGAGCAACAGGAGCTCATAATTATTACCTTTAAGGCTTGAACTGGGAGACTTCCCTGAGAGGGGCAACTCCTCCTCTAAGAGATCAGTGCAGAAGTTTGGAGGACCATGCACTGCACTGGGGCACCTGGAAGAGGCTACCCCTTTTTTTCTGCTGGCAGACTCCAAACTTAAGAATTCTCAAATAAGATCAAGCTGTGGCAGGAAAAAGTTTGGAGGCAGAGTAGAGACTGGGGAAGCTTTGGGCAGGCCATTCCAATCACTAGGGGACTTCAGCCACTGAGCTGATAGTGTAGGCCTGTTGCATCAATGTTACATCTCTGCTTTTCAGAGAGACACCATCTCTTTGCTAATATATTAGACAGGGTGTGGAAAAGACTTACCTCCATCAGATGAGAAGAAGAACTGGTGGGACACCACACTAGAAGCGGAGCACAGTGAAAGTGAAACCGCAGCACTCCTGGCTGCCACAGTGAAGAAAGAAAAGAAAAAAAACCTGCTTAGTGTGGGCATGCTTTATAACAGGCCGACTTGAAAAAGCTAGGCATTTGGCCCAGGAAAATCTAGCAGAGGCCCAACAGAGGCAGAAATGGGAGTATGACAAAAATGCTTGCATATGCGACTTCCAGGTAGGGGACAAAGTTCTCGTGTTACTCCCTACCATGACAGACAAGTTATTGACACATTGGCAGGGACCATTTAAGATAGTCTGACAGCTGGTCCTGTTGACTATGAGGTGTACTGTCCAGGGCACCAGAAGGAGCAACAAATTGACCACCTAAATTTGTTGAAACAGGAACCCAAAGGGTGGATGCTGAGCCCCAAGGATCTGGCAGAAGAATTAGGACCCGAGATAGGAGACCAGCAAAAGAGAATGGCCCAAAGCAGTGAAATAACGCAAGGCCAAGAACTTAATAAGGAGCAACACAAACATTTAAAAATGCTTATAGAAGGATTTAGTGATGTGTTTATAAAAAAAAAAAAAAAAGCCTGGGTAGGCCCAAGGGTTGAGACATGAGATCATCACTCCAAGGGGAACCATAGTCAGAGAGAGATGGAGGCCCATTCCACATCATTTACAGGAGAGCGTATGTCAGGAAATACTAAAGATGCTGGCACAAGGGATAATCATACCTTCATGCAGTCCATGGTGAAGCCCCATGGTAATAGTACCCAAAACTGATGGGTCCCTTCGAATATGTATCAACTTTAGGAAAATCAATGAAATAGTTCGATTAGATGCATTCCCTATGCTGCACATGGAAGAACTACTGGAAAGAACAGGCCAAGCCTGTTATATTTCAACAATTGATCTATCAAAAGGGTATTGGCAAATACCTATGGCGAGGAAGGACCAACAGAAAACTGCTTTCAGTATGCCCTGGGGCCTATTTGAATTTACGAGAATGCTGTACAGCCTTCATGGAGCTGCAGCAACATTTCAGGTGACTCATGAATCACATCCTTGCCCCGCATATGATGTACACCACAGCTTATATCGATGACATCGTCATATACTCTCAATCCTGGGGGCAACATCTGCGACATGAGAAGGAGGTGCCGAAAGAACTCCACCAGGTAGGGACAGTCAACCCTAAGAAATGTTTGCTAGGAATGCAAGAAACTAATTACCTCAGTTTTAGGGTTGGACAGGGAGTCATATGCCCACTGGCCAGTAAGAGATGATAGAAAAGTATTTACCACCTCAAACCAAGCAGCAGATGAGATCCTTCCTGGGGCTGGCTAACTATTATAGGAGGTTTATTCTTCATTTCACAGAAAAAGCAGCCACATTAACAGACGCCATAAGAGGAAAAGTACAGGGTTCGATAGGGTGGACTCCTCAAATGGAGGAGGCTTTTAAAGGTATCAAAAGGGCCCTGTGTAATGACATGGTAATGGTAATGCCTGATTTCTCTAAACATTTTATCCTGCGGACGAATGTTTCTGAGACTGCGGTAGGTGCAGTCGTGTGTCAGGATCAAGAAGGTGTGGAGCGACCAATTGCTTTTGCTAGTAAAAAATTAAACGATGCTGAGACCAGGTATTATACTATTGAGAGGGAATGCCTGGCAATAAAGTGAGCCATAAATTACTTCAGATACTATTTAACGGGGCAAGAATTTAAACTAATAACGGATCATGCACCTTTACAATGGCTAAATTAGTTCAGGCATAATAATGCATGAATTACGTGCTGGGCATTATCGCTACAGCCTCTTAAATTTAGCGTCAGTTACAGACCGAGAGTGACTAATATGATTGTGGATTTTTTATCAAGGTGCAACAAGAGCAAAGTGGCAATGACAAATTGGCATAGGGCCTGTGTCAAGATGATCGACGATCAGAAGCTAAAAGCTGTGGCACCACAAGGCAACTTAGGTAGGGGGATATGTGGAAAAGACTTACCTCCATCAGATGAGGAGAGGAGCTGGTGGGACACCATGCCGGAAGCAGAGCACAGTGACAGTGAAACCACGGCATTCCCGGCCACCGTGGTGAAGAAAGAGAAGAAAAAAAAATGGCCAAGACAGAAGCCAGAATCGGCTCCTATGTCAGCGTGGACACACTTTATAACAGCATGCCAGGGCTGATTCGCAGCCCAGAACACCGAAGCCAGGCTAAAAGGCCCGGCAGGGAAGGAGCAGGGAATACCAGAAGTGAGGTCTTCAACTGGCCCAGAAGTGACAGATATTGAATGTGATCCCAACCCAGGGATGTGGTAGCTACCCCAGGAAGGGGTTTTATTGAAAAGGCAGAGCCAGAGATGGCTCTATAATTCACTGGAGGAGACTCCATGAGCAACAGAGGTCCACAGCACAGACTGGATCTCAGCAGAACCAGAGAGAGCAGGTACCAGCAAACCACCAACCCACGGCAAGTATAAGACATGAGTCCAGAGTGGGATGCCGGGAAATATGACAGTCGATAACCAACCAGATGCATAAGCAAAGCAAGGTGCAGCCATAATCAAATGAGTGAAATAATGTCTCAATTCTGCCGTAGTAAAGCTAAAGGTCTAAGACCCAAAAGGGTGCATCATAATAACCTTGGTGGCCGAAGCAACAACATCTTTGGTTGGCATTAGGCGGGGTGACGAGGAGGTGGAGCCCTGAGCAGGAAGGACAACCGGAACGACCAAAGGAAGGTACCAGCGGAATGGGACAAATCATCTTCCTCACCATCAAAATTGATTTTCCAGCAAAGACGTGGCAGTCGAGACCCCCGTGGGGCACCGATTGACATCCAGTACATTAACAAACTTGTTCCTCCCTTAAAGTGACGGCAAAGCCAGAAAGAACCACACAGACTCGACGCGCAGGTGAAAGGCACAGGAAGTTGTATAGGGATTCTATATTCTAATTAAAATGTTACATTCTTCCAGGCTTTAAAACTCATTGGGGCAGAAATGGTCATCCACTGCCTGTTGTATACTGCCCAACACACCGCAATGTCAATAAATAGTTGTAATAATTACAATTTTTATATTTAATCGCTTACCATTAGACCTTTTACATACAAAGAAGTAGCTTTCATTACAAAATCCTGTCTTCCAGGCTCCATCAAGATCCAAATAGACACAAGCTATTTTTTGCTTTGGCTCCCCTTCTGCCCACTTAGTATACTTCATTTTCCAGTTATCAATCCATTCATAATGGCCCTCCGTCTAAAAGCAAAATAATTAATATAAATGATAAATTAGAGGTACTGGTAGCTTCTTCAGTATCAGTTTGGTGAGAGGAATTCTTGTATTGTCTTATGCTATGTTATTGGCATAACATGAAATGACATAACTCTAAGCATGGTATTCTATCTGACAGATGTAAACTGTCTATTCATCTGCCTTTACCAAAAGTGTTTAGTCAAGAATCTAAAGAAAAGGAAAGTGGCTCAAATTTTGGATTCATGTTGTTGCATATGTCATTTTTCAGTGATAAATGTGTTGGCATCACTACATTTAGTGCAAAAAAAATTTTGCTCAAAAAGGCCCACTTTTTAAGGCATTCATATGGATTACATCAAATTAATTGTTTACAGGAAAATAGTTTCATTTGGAAAGACCAACATTTTTGGTTTTCAAATTCAAAAGGAAACCTAAAATGTGTTTCAGGTATAACTAAATATCTCTTTGAGTCTAAAATTATTCTTTTTTACTTTCTGATTTGCCAACAATTTAAAAAAAAAAAATTTTCATAAGATCTGAAACATTTTTAAGAAGTGACATTAAACTTAACAATTCATTGTTCTGACACTTCTAATAAGTTCGCTACCATCGCTCATTCTTCCAGCATTTTTTAGAAACAGACTCTGAGATTTTTTCCAGTTAGATGTACTTAATTTGTCTTGTCAATAGGCAAGAATGGCAAAAGCAGTGATTATACCAATTGTTTGCAGTAATTGTTCATTTCAAGCATTAAAATTTTTTGTGGATATTGTTTATCCAAAAAACAATAGGCATTATTGAAATAAACTAATAAACTGGATGAACCACTTACTATTTGACTTACCATCAGCAAAGTGGGAATGTAGCTATTACCACCTCCACTTTATTATGGTATTTAACATCTTAAAACAATCAGAAATTTATTTCAAGGAATTATACACCCAAGTTTATATGAACAAAACCACAACACAGCTAACCCAACACAAAAAACTACATAAGACTGAATTTCACAAAAAAGGTGAACATTTAAATGTGGCATCTAACCCAACTAATGCAAAAAATATAACTAAATTTGCCACCTTTAAACATTAATCATATATGCAAACAATTAGAGCCATTAAGTAATCTAAAGAACTCACAAGTGAACTGATAAACATGGAATCCAAGAAATGTATTATCAAAAAGATAATTACCTGCATATTAATTTGTTTAATGTTCTTACCATATTGCAGCATAATTACCAGCATATTAATTTGTTTAATGTTCTTACCATATTGCTATTAAGACCAATCCATATACGCTGCCCATACTTTAATATCTGTAGCCACAGATATGAATGACTGTATGGATCCAAGATGCTGGCAAGGTCTGAGAGATCACTTCTACAGAATTTTCGGGCATCCTCCCATTTCATTGGCGAATGGATCAAGGAATAACTGCTGTTACCAAAAAGGACAAATTTTGGTGGCAGTGATGTTGGTGAAGGGAACAACTTAGGGTCTACAGGAAATAAAAAAAAAAAGAAACACAGCAGTATGTTTATATATTATTTCTCACACACACACGCATGCAAAAATGGTCAGGGGCAGATTTCTTCTCAGCTTTGAAAACTTACGCAGCTGCAAAGAGCCACCTTTACTCTTGGCATAGGACAAGCTATAAACTGCCCACTAGAAATGCATTGTACTAGGCCAGCATCAGTTGCAATTACCAGGTTCCCAGAGTTGGAAATGTCAAGCCTGCCTGAAATCTGCGGAAGAAATTTGGCCATATCAGTCAGCATTAGAGCCAGTCAAAAAATTTCGGTGGAATATTTTTCTGTCAAAACAGAAAAGTTTTGCGAAATATATTTGCAAAATGGCTGTCACAGGGGAGCCCCAGGTGAATTTCCTGACCACTGGTGATGCAAAAAACCTATCCAACCTCTACTGGTTCTGCTTCATTTTGTATAAATTACACTTCAACCCTATGAGAAGGGTACTGGCATGGGATGGACAGCAGTCCCCTGCATCCACTATGCATGCTGTAGTCACTGAGCTATTGACTATTTGGGGAAGGGAGTTGTTGGGAGGGTTGTTTTGAGATCTTAAACTATCTAAAAAAAGAATGGAATAGTGACTTTTGGCCAGCTTCAGTCAAAGGATCTTCTAAGCTTAACCTGCAAGTAACACAACTTCATCATCCCTTCCTTTTTGTTTCTCTTCCTCCTCACCCCAGTCATGTACCCAGTCAGATAGTCATGATCTAGGCCTTCTTGTTCATCCTATAAATCATTCCAGAAATAAAGTAGCCACATGATATGAAGAAAAATAATTACAACAGCTCCATGTTTGTGTTACAGTCACTTGAGATTATATTTTGTGTGTTTAGAGATTAAACTTTTTCCACCAAAGATCTGAAAGTTGACTTGATCTTTCTGGCTCATTCATCATAACCAATAAGAAACATGCATGTCAAATTTTACTTTTTCTAATGCTATGCGAGCTCACGAAGGCAGAGAATTTGCCCTCCTATAAAATGAGGGAAAAGTTGACCTTGTCATCAACAGTAACTATTAATTCTGATATCTCAAGACCTAATATAGAACCAGCTCACATACTATTTGGTAGACTGATTCTACAACGCTAACAACAGTAAAGTTGAAAAAGATTGGTTAGAAAATGAAGAGGACATCAAAAAGAGTAAGAGAAGCTATTATTCTGAGTACCTCCAAGGGGAAGGGCGTTTCAACACACAGAATTTACATTAGTTTAAATTAAATTAGATCAGGTCTACTCTATGCATACTGTTGCACTAGTTTCTGGTTTTGCAAATGGTGTGATTTTGAACCAGTTACCCAAACTGGTGGAACCTTTGAATGTGGATGTTCTTAAATCACTCTAAAACTGGCTTATTTTGTTTTTGTTTGTGTTAACCAAACAACAGGCTCAAGTCAAGTAGATAATCAGTTTTAACCCAATTTAATTATCATCATATAAGGGTCTGCATCAGTATATTTTTCTAACAATGTACTTTTCATGTGTAAGCAAGTCTTTAAAAATTGTTTATATCAAGCCTTTCGTACGCATATCTTGGAAAAGTCACTTAGTGGAAGTGAAGGGTAGAGGTGATATAATGGAAATTTACCATTTAAGCTCCAAGTAATGTCTAAAGATATCACATAAAATCTCACGTGAAAAGGCTGATGAAAAAATAACACACCTGTATTAATTTGGCATATATAGCCTCTGTTGTTGTCACAGCTTTCATCCACCCATTTCCCAGCCTCCTTTATAGGTTTATTTCTCATGACAACGCAGTCAGCCTAGGGGGAAAAGAATAGACAAAGCAGTAAAAAAGTACCAGAAGTAAAGACAGCCGCCTCCTCCTTTTACATCTGTTGAAACATGTGGTCCCAGAGATTCATTCCTTATCATTTTAAGATTCAGTCTTTCAGCTTAGGATACTGACTTCTATATATTCATACCCCTCATGTACCGCTTTTATTTTTTAACCTTGCTCTGACTTGCACAGGACTGGGCTGTGTGTGTGTACCACAGACATTTTAATATCCGCCCTTCCCCAGTTAGCTCAAAGTGGAAAAAACAAAGCCCGAAGGAAGTTCCGAGGGAGCTCTTTCATGAGTTTGATCATGACAGAAGTGACTGGCTACTTCAGTGCATCACCCCTCTGCTGCACCAACTCTTGGACACGCAACTGGCAGTGAGCACTGCTGACACTTTTCTCCATTTTCCAAATTCATAGCTGCAACTGTGTAAAATATTCACAATAAAACTTGAAAAAACCTTAGGCATGAAATGGGTCACAAATTTGATAAGCCTGACTTACACTTCATAGTTACAGTACAAACAGGGTTACAGTGGACAATGACCTGAATATGATCCAACAATATGCCCTTGTTGCGAAGAAAGCTAACAGCACACGGGGCTGCATTAGTAGAAGTGTTGCCAGCAGATCCAGGGAAGTGATTAGTCCCCTCTATTCAGCACTGGTGAGGTCACATCTGGAGTACTGTGTCCAGTTTTGGGCCCTCCACTATAGAAAGGATGTGAACAAATTGGAGAGTCCAGAAGAGAGCAACATAAATGGTTAGGGAGCTGTGGCACATGACTCCTGAGGAGAGGCTGAGGGAAGTGGGCTTATTTAGTATGGAAAAGAAAAGACTGAGTGGGGATTTAATAGCAGCCTTCAGCTACCTGAAGGGTGGTTCCAAAGAGGATGGAGCTTGACTGTTCTGTGACGGCAGATGACAGAACAAGGAACAACAGTCTCAAGTTGCAACAAGAGAAATTTAGGTTAGATATTAGGAAAAACTCTCACTAGGAGGGTAGTAAAGCACTGGAACAGATTACTCAGAGAAGCTGTGGAATTTCCATCCTTTGAGGTTTAAGACCCAGCAAGACAAATCCTTGGGTGGGTAGATCTAGTTGGGGGATGGTCCTGCTTTGAGCAGGGGGTTGGACTAGATGACTCCTGAGGTCCCTTCCAACCCTAATTTTCAATGATTCTGTGATTTCCCTGGGCCATTTCCAAAGCCACAGAACTTATTTGAGAATACATCACAAATATAATCATTTTATCACAGTCACAACCCTGACCACAGAGTATCCCTGGAGCCCCAAGTTTTCTCCTCCTATCCCACTGCTTATCCCAAGGAACAGACCAAAGTTTTCCTCAAGATGATTCCTTATCCCCATAAGCCTCAGCTCTACCAGCCTTATACTGGATTTCATAGATGTAGCAGGGGAATCTCTGCCAGATCCAGGTGGCTTCCCTTTGGATTCTGAAACAATTTTATGTCCCCCTTCCCACAGAATGACTTAGCCTGGAGTACCACTCACCCAGAGATCACTCTTTACCACAGGCAATCAGGAAGGATACAAGATATCAGAAAGATTTATTATATAGGAGAAAAGAATAATGCAAGCAAAACAGACCATAAGTGTGAAGACAGAACAAAACACAAGCATCTTACTATCTCATCTGGCTGCAACCTAGCACTCCTGAGAGTCCTGTCAGTGTTTCTAA